GTGTCAGTCAAAGTCTCCCCCAAACCAGTGAAGAGTTAAAATATAGCCTGGAAAAGAGCCCTATAATATAATGGTTAAGAAGGTGGTAATGACTCATTCCAGAGGTATAAGTGTGAACTATATAGAATCCAGAAGGTGAAGTCATTAGGTGTGTCTTGCCGGATGTGGTGGTGCATGCCTGTAATTCCAACTACTCAGAAGGCTGGAGCAGGAGGGTTACAAGTTCCAGGCCAGCCTGAGCAATTTAGCAAGACCCTGTCTCTCAAAATTTAAAAAAAAAAAAAAGTTGGCAGGGGAGCTCTTGGGATATAGCTCAGTGGCAGAGTGCCCCTAGGTTCAATCCCCAGTACTAAAAGGAAAAAAAAAAAAAAATGAAGGAATTATAGAATCTTTCATACTCTACAGAAAAAGTTTATCAATCTTTGATCTTAGCCTTTATCACTATATTCTCAACTTGTTCTTGCCTCTTAACTGATACCTAAGCTTCTGATCTTTCTCTCATTCTGTTGTTCCTCTATTCTGCACTCGTTTTTTTGGTTTCTGTTTTATTGTTGTTTTTTTTATGTTGTGTTGTTTTGTTTTTTGTTTATTTTTTAAATACTAGGGATTGAACCCAGGGGCACTTAGCACTGAGCCATATCCCCAATCCTTTTTATATTTTATTTTGAGATAGAGTCTTGTTAAGTTGCTTAGGGCCTCACTACGTTGCTGAGGCTGACTTTGAACTTGCCATCCTCCTGCTTCAGTCTCCCCAGCCACTGGGATTTCAGGTGTGTACTACTGTGCCTGGCTTCAATTGTTTTTTTTTAAATATAAAAAATAGCCAATTGTGGTAGTAGTGTATGCCTGTATTCCCAGTGGCTCAGGAGGCTGAGGCAGGAGGATCACAAGTTCACTACCAGCCTCAGCAACTTAATGAGATCCTGTCTCAAAATATAAAAAGGACTAGGGATGTGACTCAGTGGTAAAACTCCTCTGGGTTCAATTCCTAGTACCAAAAATAAATTTTAAAAAATGTATAAATCCCTCTACAGAAACTTTGTTGGCTCCTCATTTCCTGTTACCTTCATATGAGGTTTTTAAAATTTGTCACAATCTGGCACCTGTCTTCATCTGTTTTGTCTCTTAACATTCCCTCTCTTCTCTGTGTCCTGTACACCAGCTACAACAGGCCACAGGGCTAGGCTTGTACAGCTCTGCAACTCTGTACCCCCAACCCCTCACTGGAATTTCCTTTTCTGTAGTCTCTACTGTTTGAGTGTCTTCATCATTCTGAGCTTTTCTATAAACCCTATCCTGATCTTCAGCTCTTTTCTTTTATATGTCAGGTTAAGATAAATTATACTGCTGTAATAATCACCTCAAAATCTCAGGGGCTTGAAAGTACAAATAAAACTAACAAACATCTGAAGGTGTAGCTGAGTGGTAAAGTCCTTGCATAGCATGCATGCGGCCCTGAGTTCAATCCCTAACACCAAAAAAAGGAAAGAATGAAGAGCCGCTTATATGAAAATGCCTCACTGCTGGAGGGCTCAAAAAGCATCTTTGATTTTTTTTTAACAACAGAAAAAGACAACCTATCATTTTCTTTCTAATATGCACATGACTAATTAACAGATAATTGTACTTTGACCTAAATCAACTGTTGTGGTTGGTAAGTAATAGTAAAAAATCAACTTCACTTAAGAGTGGGAAATCTGGGAAGATAAAGTCTTTATTAGAGTTATCCTTAGATCTGCTTCTGCCCACAGCAACACCTGGGGCCCATTGCAACTTCCTGTGACCCTAACTCTTGAGCCAGTTCTAGAGGCAGGGAACCAGGTAAGCAGTCTCAACTTGGGTGGTGGTTCTTCTATCAGTAACCTCACCTGGTGTTTTTGTTTGCTTGTTTGTTTTTGCAGTGCTGGGAATTGAACCCAGGTCCTTATGTAGGCTGGTCAGGTAATCTACTGTTGAACTACCACCCCAGCCTCAAAGTCACACTTAGACCTGCCTTAGTAGATCTGTGGAGTTTCTCCAGGGTGTCTCCCCTCTCTGTTCTTAATACAATAATTCCAGCTGGACAGCTCTAGTCCTTGTCCTACCTACTAATATTTGGTTTCTGCTCAGCTTCTACAGTGTGACACTTTTGAAAAAGCCTGCTAGGCTCACCTTAAGCTTTCTCCCATATTGTCCTGCTGTCTCTTAAGCATGTATTATACAATTCAGAGATTCACCTGAGTTCCAGCAAGCACTTAGGGAGCAGACTCTACGTTGTTAGCCCTGGACTGATCCCTGAGTCCTGTGTTGCTTTTCTGCTTACCGCTGCTTTATATTCTGGCCCCAGGGGCCAACAGTGCTGGTACCACCAATGTGCTTACATGTTTTCTCAGAAACCTTTGCCTGTGGCCTGGGGTATAATTAAATGGTAGAATGTTTGCTAATAGTAACTAATTTTTAAAAAATGATGATTTTTTGTCCATGATCCACACCTGGGTCCTGCTACGTTTTGCTGTCTTCATTGTTTGCCCTATGCACTGGATCTCTAACTCTTGAGTACTATTCCAGACCACTACATCCTGCCTTTGTTCCTCCTACGTACTGTTCTCCATCAGAACCCAGGAAACTGCCAGGCTTGGAAATCAAAGCTGTCATCATTATGTACTCCATCCAGATCTATTTCTCGCCTCACATATCTCAGCCCCAGTCTGGTTTCATGTGCATGCCCAAGCACTCTTGATGTGGACCTCAATTAAATCTGCCTGGTTTCCTTGGGATCAGTCACTATAGCACCATCTTCATGGAACACTAAACACTGTCATCTCTTTTTGAGAGTCCACCCTGATTTCTTTACTAATCCTAGTTCACGACTGGTTTCTGCTTTTTTAACTTCACTTTGTTCTCTTCTTGCTGGTTCTGGGTGATTGTTTATAAAAAGTTCTGAATGTTCTTTGGATTGATTCTTTTAAACCCAGTGCCCTGTCCTCTCTCCACTCTCCTCCCCCACTACTACTGCTCACCATCCTAATGCTGAGACCAGCTCTTCAGAACTCAGATGGCAAACACCAGGGACTACTGGTCCAGACGTATAAATAGCAGCTTCTCCTACCCAATAGAGTTCATGCTCATGTAAAGCACTTTACATGTCTATACCCAGAATAGTATCCGACCCAAAGTCAAGTCTCTATAAGTGTTTCTTACATTATTCCAAAATTAAGGAAATGAAGCAGACATTCTCTCTTGTACAAGAATATCTTTGGAATTAAAAAATTAAGACAAGTCATAAATGGATGTAAGTTACTGGTATAACAGTGCATAACTTTTAAAATAATTTTATTCACATAACTTAAAAGTCCTTCTACTAAAGGTTTTTAGTATATTTGTAAAGTTATACAACCATCCCCATAATCTAATTCTAGAACATTTCCATCATCCTGTATTCTTTGGCAGTCATTTTCCAGTTTCCCCTTTCCTAGCCTCTGGCCACCAACTAATCTATTTTCAGTCTCTATGGATTGCCTATTCTGAAATCATACAACATGTGACTTTTTGTATCTATTGTCTCACTTAATGTTTCTAAGTTTAATTTGTTTTGTAGCATGTACTGGTACTTCTCATTCCTTTATGTGGGTGCATAATATTTTATTTGAGAACGTGTACTTTGTTCATCTACCCATCAGATGATGGATATTTATGTTATTTTACCTTGTGGCAATTGTGAATAATGTTTCTATAAACACTTGCCGTGTCAAATAGAATTATATGTACTGACAAAAATGTCCATCAAGGGCTGGGGATGTGGCTCAAGCGGTAGCACGCTCGCCTGGCGTGCATGCGGCCCGGGTTCGATCCTCAACACCACATACAAACAAAAATGTTGTGTCCACCGAAAACTAAAAAATAAATATTAAAAATTCTCTCTCTCTCTCTCTCTCTCTCTCTCTCTCTCTCTCTCTCTCTCTCCCCCCCCTCCCTCCCTCCCTCCCTCCCTCTCCTTCCCCTCCCTCCCTCCCTCTCTCTCACTCTCTCTTTAAAAAAAAAAAATGTCCATCAAGTTTTTATTTTTTTAAAGGAGAAACTATATAAACTGGGCATGATGGTGCATGCCTTGTAATCCTTATGACTCAGGAGACCAAGGCAGGAGATTTCCAAGATAGAGACCACCGTCTACCTCTGCCATGCTGTTCAGGTACCCTCAGGCCCAGAGCAATGGAGTTAGCCATTTATGGACTGAGACCTTTCAAACCATGAGCCCCAAATATACTTTTCCTCCTCTAAAATTGTTGTTCTTAGGTGTTTGAGCCACAGCGGTGGAAAAGCTGACTAAAATATATAGCAATATATAACTTCAGCTATTCATATACATTTTCATATTTCCCAGTATGGTTTGAAACTGTACATGAATTCTGATCATTATTTTTCAGATACCATTGGTGGTTAAAGTTGAGGGGGCAAATGCTGAGACTTACTTGAGGAAGGAATGCTCTATGGGTTAATATTGTTCCTCAAAGTTATTTCTTGTGGCTGTCAAGTTGCATATTACTGTGGGGATTGAACTGAATATTAAATATGGGCAGTGTGGTATTTAGCAGCTCACACTATTTAGTGATAACTAATATTGAAGGTTTATTTGTTTTTTGTTTTGTTTTTTGGTACAGGGGATTGAACCTTAGGGGCACTTAGTCACTGAGCCACATCCCCAGCCCTATTTTTGTATTTTATTTTAGAGACAGGGTTTCACTGAGTTGCTTAGGGCCTCACTGAGTTTCTGAGGCTGGTTTTGAACTCATAATCCTCCTGCCTCAGTCTCCTGAGCTGCTGGGAATGCAGGCATGCATCATTGTACCTGGCTGCATCTTTTTTGATTTGGTTAATATGTGTGCCATAACAATTATTGAGCATTTGGAATGCCATACCTCCTTATAGAAAATCAAACTTGTAAATCTGGCATGTGCTTGGTAATTACTAATTTCCTTTTCTTCTCTTTTGGGCTCCTTTATGTTCCTGATCATTCATAGTAGGTTGCTGATGGCTAGTATCCATTTTTTATTGTCCTGTATCCCTGAAACATCCCTGCAGTATGCTTGGATACCCTTTGGTAAGTGTTCTGGTTCTTTTATTATGAAAATATGATCTTTCTGTAAAGCCCTTTGCCCTAATGACTTTGACAGTTGCTCATATTTCCTCAGTTCCCCCTTGAGCCACACTATCTGTTAACTTGAAAGGCCTTTTCTAAAGAAAATCTTTTTGTATAAACACATTGGGTTCATAGTCAGTAATGTTCACACTCATTGTTACCCATGATGATCATCAGCTAGTATAATGTTAAAGGTGTTAATTTTGGGGTTGTTTATAATGCTGAACCAATGGAAACAACTTAACTCATGGAACTGGTTATATAAAGTATGATAAAATTATATGTTGCAGGGGTCAACACACTTTCTCTGTAAGGGTCAGGTGTGAGCTACAGAATCTCTGATGCAGCGTCTCAATTTTCCTGTTGTAGTATTAAAACAGAAACAATATATAAATTAATAAGCATCATAGCTATGTTTCTGTAAAATTTTATTTAGGAGGTAGACCATATTAGGCCTGTAGGCCATAAATTGCTGGACCCAATGTAATGAACTTTTACTCTATGACTATTTAAAAAAAATCAAATAGAATTATATATATTGACAAAGTGTCCATCAAGTTTTTATTTTTTTAAAAGAGAAACTATATAAGCTGGGCATGATGGTGCATCCCTTGTAATCCTTGTGACTCAGGAGACCAAGGCAGGAGATTTGCAAGATAGAGGCCAGCCCAGGCAACTTAGTAAGAATCTGTCTCAAAAGAAAAACAAAAAGATGCAGAGTATGGTGTTGCAGTCCTGTAATCCTGGTGGCTTGGTTTGGGAGGCTTCTGCAGGAGGATCACAAGTTCAAGACCAGCCTTAGCAACTTAGCGAGGCCATAAGCAATTTAGCAAGAGAGAGACCCTGTCTCAAACTAAAAAAGGGCTGGGGATGTGGCACCATGGTAAAGTACCCCTTCATTAAATACCCAATAACTCCTTCCCCCAAAATAAATAAATAAACAATAAAAACAAAGAGCTAGGGATATTGTTCAGTGGTAGCATGCCCCTGGATTTACTAACACAAAAGGAAAATAAGTAAATAAATACATACACACACATACATATATATATATATACATTTAACATATATTTAATACATATATATGTGTATTTTATTATATATATATATATTTGGTCAAAATTCTACGTACACACTTTGTTTGTAGTACTGGGAACTGGATCCAGGGACACTTTGTATCTGAGATAAATCCCCAGCCCTTTTTAAATTTTATTTAAGACAGGACTTTGCTAAGTTGCACAGGCTAGCCTTGAACTTGAGATCTTCCTGCCTTAGCCTGTGAGTAGCTGGTACTACAGACATGTGCTACTATGCCCAGCCACATACCTGTATTTGTATGGGCCTGAAAAGACACATGCTCAACTTTTAACAGTAGCCAGACCACATTAGGGCGGGTAGACACTTTTCCTGACCTTATTGGGTTTTTTTTTAATTTTTTAGTTGTACACAATATCTTTATTTTGTTTATTTTTATGTGGTGCTGAGGATTGAACCCAGGGCTTCGCACATGCTAGGCAAGCACTCTACCACTGAGCCACAATCCCAGCCCATCCTTACCTTATTATTGAATATTATATTGTGAGAGAGCCTTGCCTTTGATATAATTAAATAAAATGCAACTAGGATTTGTTTTTTGTGTTTTTTTGTTTGGTTTGGTTTGGTCTTCGTACGAGGGATTGAACTCAGGGGCACTTAACCACTGAGCCACATCCCCTACTCTTTTATATTTTATTTATTTAGAGATAGGGTCTCACCCAGTTGCTTAGTGCCTAGTTTTGCTGTGGCTGGCTTTGAACTTATGATCCTCCTACCTCAGCCTCCTGAGCTGCTGGGATTACAGGTGTGGGCCACCATGCCCAGCTTGAGATTTGTTTTAAAAGTTAAAAAAAAAAAAAAAGTTTTCTTAGCCTTAATCATTATGTATATAAGCTTGTATTTTACATAAAATCTAAGAACTTCACAATTAAAATAACTCCCAATCATCATTAACAAAGTGACTATAACCTCAGCTACTTATGGCTTTAAATGGGAGTTTATTTATTTATTTTATATCTTTTGGTGGCAGAAATGGGACCCAGGGGCGCTTTACCACTGCGCCACATCCCCAACAGGGTCTTGCTAATTTGCTTAGTTTTGATAAAGAGAGAGTGATAGAGGGAGAGAGAGAGAGAGAGAGAGAATTTTTTTAATATTTATTTTTTAGTTATTGGCGGACACAACATCGTTGTTTGTATGTGGTGCTGAGGATCCAACCCAGGCCGCACGCACGCCAGAGGAGCACGCTACCGCTTGAGCCACATCCCCAGCCCATAATAAGGGATATTTAATTGAAAAGTCAGATCAATGCCTTAGCTGGGAACTAGGAGCTGAATCTGGAGGCAGATTATGGGTATCCTGGGGACAGCCTCAGCAATGCTATCATGTCAAGCATCTTTCTAGATCTGCAGGGTCTCAGGAATGTGCAGCAGCTTCCAGCTTCCTGGTCATTAACTGCATTTGCTCCTACCAGATTTCTCCTTTGCCAAGAACCCTCTCCAGGCCAGGTCCTGAAGCAGGAAGAGGACTCATGCACTTTCACAGCCATAGCAAGAAGACTATACATAGTTAAATACACACCATACACATGAAGGTGAGTGCCAGTGGGAGGGGTCTTGGTAGAATAAGTCACATTTGAGTCACATCTAAGTCACTCTGAAGCCTGCCATATTGCCCAAGGCAGGGCAGGAAATTCAAGCAGACAGAAGTAAGGGATGAACAAAGACAAGGCTAGCAGTTACAGATCAGGAAGGTAAACCAGCAGAGTTTCTGGAAAGGGAGAAAGGAAGTCACATTTGAGTGCTAGAGAGATTTTTCTGGTGGTAGGGGAGGAGAATGTGTGAGGAAAGCAGTTAATGATTTCTTGTCCAGGTGAGAAGTTTAGGCCTTCTGCTCCATTATGGTGGAGTCAAGACTTTGCTTTCTTCACTTCTGGGCCATGTCCAAAGCTGCACCTTCTGCTTCCTGTGTCCTCTCCTCTCCTCTTGGCATAGTCAGTTCTCCTTTCTTTGAGTTTTAAAACTAATGTGTGAGCCGGGCATGGAGGCGCACCATAGTAATTCCAGCTACTTGGAGGCTGAGGCAGGAAAATTGCAAGTTTGAGGCCAACCTGGACAATTTAGATGGTGTCTCAAAAGCTAATATCGCTGATTACCAGTGATGAGTTCTGCTTCCTCACATTTTGAAGTATAACATTAAAGAAGCACGCAGAGGCAAGCATATAAAGCAGAATTTATTGTAAAAAGGGGTAACAGACTTTTCCCAGGAGGGAGAAGGGGGCCATAGCTGGTATCCTAGTATCCAAGAAGCCAGGGTGTTTTGCCTTTTTATATGTCCTAGGCTTCCTTTGTTCTCCTGCTCTCTCCTTCCTGAATAGGTGACTAGGCCCAGGAGATGCTCAGTGGGATGGCCAAAAAGTGAAAAGCTGATGGATGGGGGAAGGGCCAGATGGAGCAGCCCAGGACACATTAATTAACAACTTTATAACTCCCTGCAGGGAGGGACAATTCCTGGGACTGGTTACCTTAGTAACAAGTTGGAGCAGGGTCTGGTAAGGGTGATAAGGGTGGAGGAAGGGCTCTGGAGGCTTTTCAGTCCCTCAGGGGGCAGTCTCCAACTTCCAGGACTCACTCAAATTATCTATACTGAGTGCCTGTCTAATTCTGGCTTCATGGTCAAGTTCTTCTGAGTTCAATTCCTAGTACCACACACATGCACACAAAATATTAAAATAAAAAGCTACGTGGGGGTGCTGGAGTTGTGGCTCAGTGGTAGAGTACTTGCCCCACATGCGTGAGGCCCTGGGTTCAATCCTCAGCACCACATAAAAATAAATAAATAGATAGATAGATAGATAGATAAAGATGTTGTGTCCATCTACAATGAAAAAAATATTTTAAAAAACTACCTGGGGAGGTAGCTCAGTCTTGCCTGGCTTGTGGGATGCCTAAGGTTCAATCCCTAATGCCACAAAACAAATTAGGTGTGACCCTCACCTAGAAAAACTCACTGACCTCTCAGATGTCCCCTGTCATTCTCAAGCTGAGTAAGGAACTGGTATTTTGGGCTCCAGAATGCTTTGTGCCTTTCCCTGTCTCTGAATCAATTCCATGGCTCTAGGATTGTGTTTTGGTTTCTTTACTATTATAATGAAAGACCCTAGCCCAGTTAGTCCAGTTACCTAAGGCCAAGATATGAAATCAAGATACCGGGCTTGTCATAAACAGGCTCAGGCGCCACCGGATGTGCTTTCCATATAACCGGTTGAGAAAGGACAGAGCACCCACATCCTGAGGCATGAATGAATAAACAGGAACAGATAAGCAGGAACAGAAAGAATAGAATGCAGACCTGTGGTTTTTGGAATGCAGACCTGTACCCCCTAGGTGGCCTATATGCTAGATTTAAACAAACCAATAAGAAACCTGTTGCTTCCCGTGCGCGCGCGTGCGCGCGCAACCTGTCCCAAACCCTATAAAAATCTCTGTATCCCCAAGCCCGGTGTGCCAGTTCACCAAAGCTCCGGCTGAGGTTCTGCTGGACACCCGCAGGCGCCTGTGTCCCAATAAACCTAAACCTCTTGCTTTTGCAGCCAGTGTTTCTTGTGATTCTCCTTGGACAGGGAAACGGGGGTTCTTTCAAAAAACGGCGTGTCTTTCTTTTATAATATGATTTTTCACTGGGCAGGGGCCAGATTTCACTAATCTTTTTGTTGTTGTTATTGTTGTTTGTTTGTTTTGTATTGAGAATTGTTCCCCAACTCCCTATCCCTTTTTATTTTTTATTTTGAAAGAGGATCTAAGTTGTTTAGGGGCTTCTCTAAGTTGTTGAGGCTAACTTTGAACTTACAGTCCTTCTGCCTCAGCCTCCTGAGTCACTGAGATTACAGGCCATGTGCCCATGCCCAGCTCTTTGTGTCTTCAACACCTAGCAGAGAAAGTCTGACACCAAGAAGATAGGTAGCAAATAACTGTGACTGGATGAGTAAAGAATAGATGAAAATTTGAGAGAGATTTTGGGGGTTGAATTAGAATTGCTTGGCAAGAGATTGGGCAGGACTGGTGACAGGGTGTGTCTAAAATGATCCCAGGTTTTCTGGTTTGGGTGCAGGGGACATTTACTCATAATTCTTTGGATGCTGAGTGTATAGGATTTGCAGACTAATTGCCCAGTTCTCAGACACCAACTGAGTATCCAATAATTCAGTTTAATTCTGATACTTTCTACCTAGAGTTAGAGTCAGATCCCACCAGTTAAAAAGCTCATTCCCACAAGACAGCCTTCATTTCAGACACCAGTGACCAGTCTCATGTTGACATCTATATTTCTGACCAACCAGCTATGTAAATCCCTGGGATCCCTTGACCATCCTTCTTCACATTCAAAAATGTGCTGGAATGGCTTACAAGACTCAGGGAAACTTTTGAGTTTAAATGTGTAAGGATATAACGCAGGAATAGCCAGGTGGAAGAGATGCATAAGGCAAGGTATTAGGCATTCAGGGCTTCTCTGTCATTTCAAGGCACAGCACCTTCTTAGCACTTCAGTGTGTTCACCAACCAAATAGCTCTTTTGAACCTTATCATATAGTTCCCCCAGACCCTCTACTGGGGTGCTCTACTGCTGTACTACATCCCCAGCCCTTTTTATTTTTTCTTTTGAGACAGGGTCTCACCAAGTTGTGAAGGCTGCCCTCAAACTTGCAATCCTCCTGTGTTAGCCTCCTGAATTGCTGGGATTATAGGCAGGTACCTCTGCACCCCTGATATTATATATGGGTTTTAATGGAGGTTTCATTATGTAGACATGATTGATCAAAGTACTGGCTATTGATGATTAATTCAACCTTTAGCCCTTTTCCCCTTTTGGAAGCTGGGAGATAGGGCAGAAAGTTCCAAGTCTTTGTCAAGGCTGGCTCTTGCTTGTGGCTAGCCCCATCCTGAAACTATGAAGAACCCCCAACCACCAGTCATCTCATTTGCATGCGAAAGACACTTTCCTCATTCCTGAGATTCCCAGGGTTTTAGGAGCTTACATTTATCACTGGAGGTGGTAGTGCCATTAAACTAGGTGGCAGATAAGAAGAACAGATATGAGAAAAAAGACTTATTTCCTTCAGCTACCATGTAGTGACACAAAACAATAATCACTGCTTCTGGTTCACTGGCATCAGCATCCCCATCTCCACTCTTGGTCTGAGCTGACAACCCCCAAATACCTACAGGCTTTTACTAACCAATTCCCAATTCTCTTCCATGTGTTTACAGTCTTGTGGTTTTCAGTGTTGTGCAGAATGCCTCCTTCTGAACTTGCACTAATTAGTGTCTTTGGTTTGTCCACTTATCTAGGGATCTTTCAAAAAGAGGTCTCTCACCTCTACCCATATCTCAGGCAGCTTTGTGAACAAAGTTTCTCATGTGATACATTTTCTATATTCAGAAGAACTACAGAATATAGATCAAGGCTCTTTCATGCATATAACTGAAAGCCTGGAATGCACAGGTATAACCCAAAAGGGAATTTATTGGCTCACCAAACTGAAAATTCCAGAGAATAGACTTAACTTAAGGCATGCTTGCACATGTAGGAAATAACTTTTTTTTAGGTGGTACTAATAAAAGTGTGCCACTATTTTGTCTTTTAAAACTGTTTCCTTGCACATGAAGGAAATAACTTTTTTTTAGGTGGTACATTTATATTTAGGGATATAAATGCTGTCGGGCCCTGATTTTTACTCCTGATGACTCAGGGTCACTTCTTATCTCTCAACTTTATTCTCAGGAGGTTCTTCCCATGCAGTGCAAGGAGGGTGAGGGGGCTGCAGTTGCCATAGACTGTTCCTTTTATGCTTAAATCAAGCCAAAAAGAGTAAGCCTTTTATCTATCTGTGCCTGCAACAACAGTCCAGAGAGTTGCTCTGATGTGGCTGGTAGGATTGTTTGTTGGCCTCTGAATGATCTCTAGATCAGGGACTGCTGCAGGCCTGGGTGGGGCTGGGGGGTGGATAAACCACAGATATTGACTAACTTGCTAAAATCCTCCCCTCCCAGGAGGTGGAGCTCAAATACTGCCAGCACAATGACAGGTCTACAAGTATGTGCCACCATGCTGGGCTCCTATACCTTTGCTACTTGAAGTCATCAAATTTATTTTATTTTGAGATGGTCTTACTAAATTGCCTAGGCTGGCCTCAAACTTTTGGTCCTCCTGTCTCAGTCTCCCCAAATGCTGGGATTACAGGCCTGCACCACCTTGCCTGGCTCTCTCTTAGATACTTCTATATTGCCTGAAAATATGGTACCACTGAGTCATGACTCCGGATTCTAAGACAGAAGTGATGTCCTTGCTTTTTCTGTGTGGAACCAAAGGACTAATCCTGTCCTGCTGGCTGAGTCAAGACTATCTACATGCCTTCAAGGCACAGGCCCTTTTTGTTTCCCTCCACCCCACCCACCCCAACCCAGTACTGGGGATTGAACCCTCTAGTGTTCAACTTCTGTTCTACTTCTCCCGCCCTTTTTATAAATTTTGAGAAGTTTTGCTAAGTTTTCCATGCTGGCCTTGAACTCGCACCCTCCTGTCTCAATCTCCTGA